TGTAAATATGGGGAAGGAGATTACTTCCCGATCCATCCCTGACCTACCAAAATAGCATCCGTGCGTCCTGGGAACAATGAAGTAGAGCCCAGATCCTTGAATACTGGCTGGATGCACTTAGAAGACTCAGGCCAAGAGAAGCCTTCCCAGCCACACGCAACAGAGGCTTCATTCGGGAGAAGGATCACATATCCACTCACCTGCAGTTGCATCATCAAGGGTTCGGCCACCGCGTCTCTTCCTCTGGATTTCCACTCAGAGTGCAAACCGTATGCAGGAAAAGCTGGGCAAGGAGAGAGAAGCCAAGAGACTCCAGTCTTACGCACAATTCCCAGACCCCCGATCATGAATCCCTGATGTGCCTGCATGCAACCCCCCAGCTCCCCCTACAAGAACACACCTCATGCTCTGAGAGAGGTGGTGGAGCTCTCACTTCCGCTTGGATCAGAAGTGACAAGGCTTTGGCTGCTGTTGCTAGTCAATAAAATAGGAATATTCTTTTCTGTTTTCAGACACAAAAATCAAAATCATTATTTCTAAATTAACTACATTTTCGGGGCGCCTGGGTGGCTTAGTCGGTTAAGCGTCCGACTTTCGCTTAGGTCATGATCTTGCGGTTCGTGGGTTCGAGCCCCGTGTCGGGCTCTGTGCTGACTGCCAGCTCAGAGCCTGGAGCCTGTTTCAGTCTGTGACTCCCTCTCTCTCTGACCCTCCCTTGCTCACGCTATCTCTCTCTCTCTCTCTCTCCTAGAAATAAATAAAACATTAAAAAAAAATTTAAGTTAACTACATTTTCATAAGGATATTTAATTCCCTCCCTGAACCCCAAACCTAAAAGTCCCTAGGATAGAAAACGTACAATGCAAAGATTTTACAAGGAAATATATTTGTTCAATCTGACATTTTAGTAAAGTTATAACTGGATTATTGTCCTATATTAGTCATTACCACAAATGACACCATAGCTCTTCATAAATCTTTTATTTAAACGTACCGGTGAACTTTGAATTATTACCAAAATTTTATTAGTACTTACATGTGTTTCATGACAAAATGACATTATATCATAAGGAAAAGTAGATGTAACTCACCTCCTTACACCTCGAGCCCCAAAATAAGAAGACAATAATAAAGTTTAATAAAAAGGACTCTCTGCTTGGAACCTTAAAAACATTCACTGAATTTAATCCTCACAAACACTCTGCTGATTTCAGTATAGTCACTGTTATGGACTGAATGCCTGAGTCCCCTCCTTCCCCACCCAAATCCAAATCCATTATGTCAAAGCCCTAATTCCCTATATGATGGTATGCAGAGATGGGGCATTTGGTAGGTAATTAGGTTTAGATGAGGTCATGAGAAGAGGTCCCCCATGAAGGGACTGGAGTCATTCTAAGAGGAAAGACCACAGCTCTCTGTCTCTACCATGTTGGGACACATTGAGAAGGCAGGCTCCTGCAAGCCAGGAACCGGTCCATCAGTGAGTACTGAGTCTGCTGACACCTTGGTCCTGGGAGTTCCAGGCTCCAGAACTGTGAAAAACGAATGTGGGTTGCTGAAGCCACCAGGTATTTTATTATTAGAGTCTGGAATGGCATGAACAAATGATATGAACACAGTTTTAGAAAGCCTTAGAAATATGAAAATATTACACGGCTAAGGAATGATACAGGTAGAATTTCAATTATATTTCCCCAAACTCAGATTTCTAAACATGGTCTTCTTAGGGGGTAAAGCTTCCTGCCAGGTCTTACCAGGATTGCCCCCTGTCAGATGAAGAATCCTAGATCCCTCCAGCAACCACAGCCTCTGTCTTTCCAGTTCGCCCACAGAATCACTCCCTATGCCCACGCTCTCCAAACCTGGGGACCTACATTCTACTGACACCACTTGAAGTCTATCAGCCCCTGTTTCCATCACTTTTACTGCCCACCTCAATCCCCATGTATCCTTTCTTCATGCATCCAAGGGAGGTTAAAAAAAAAAAAAAAAGCAGCTTTATGACAAGTGCGTATGCAGAACCTATCCCAATGCCTGGTTATATGGCTCATGCTCAATAATATCTGAGATAAAATCATTATTTTGTTAGTTATGCCTCCTTACCTTCCTTATACATCCATTTCTTCCACCTACTTAATGATCAACACCCTGTAACAGCCAACAATCATAGATTTCTCAAAATCTAAAAATTTGCGTAAGTAATTTTCTTCACACCAATAACTCATTCTCTGAGATGCCCTGGGTGTCCAAGGATTCAGTTCAACTCTGACACCATCTTCCCGGAGTTAGCATCAGATCCCACAAGTTCAAAGTCAGCCCCATGCGACTTACTCTCCTTCAGATGCCAGCCACAAATGTAGTGTCCAAGCTGCCCACATCTCTGCCGAGAGCACTGTAGAGTCTAGGGTTCCTAGAGGAATCCTCAAAGTTTGAGGTTCCCTCAAATTAGGTTTGATAATTTTCTAGAATGACTCACAGAATTTAGGACAACACTTTACTTGGTTTTACTGGTTTATTTTAAGGATGAACAGCCAGAGGAAGAGGTACACGGGGTGAGGTCCAGAAGGGTCCCCAGTGCAAGGTCCCGCCATCCCCATGGAGGTGGGCAGATGGAAGCTCTCACCAGACCAGAGGTTGGTCTCCACACTCCAAACCTGGGTGTTCAAGAGTGTTTATAGAGTTCAACCTCCAGGAACCACTCCCCTCCCCAGAGGCTACTGGGTGGGGCTGATATCACTTACAAACACATCTTATTTTATAACACTCTCCAGCTTTAATTTCTTCCCTGTTTTCACACTAGCCTTACAAGTAGGATCTTTAGACCTGCCACCATCTTCAGAAATCCACTAGCCTGCCTCCCTGTCCAGTCCCCCAACTCACCTGACTGTAGTCTGCTCTCACCCCCTGGGATACAGGTTTCATTTCTATCAGCAATATGATACAAGTTCTGTTACCTTGCAGGGAGGGGGGGGGTGGAGTCTCTAATAATATTCTTACCTACTTCCTTGTGGATTTTTTTTTTTTTTTTTGCGGTAGATCCCAGGCACTTTTTTCCCCTAATTCCTTTGTGTTATATCTTTTTTTCCTTAAATAGTTTATTGGCAAGTTGATTTCCATATAACCCAGTGCTCATCCCCACAAATGCCCTCCTCCATCCCCATCACCCCCCTTTCCCTCTCTCCCAGCCCCATCAGCCCTCAGTTTCTCAGTATTCAAGAGTCTCTCATGGTTTGCTTTTCCATGAGGATTTCTAAGGCTTTGCTCAAACAAGTGTTTAAGAATTTAACTAAAATACTTGTATTTTCCACAAGTTTTCCTAAAAGATATGATACCCTTTATGAGTCTTTTCCAAAAGTTTTCTTTAAAAAAAAAAATTCTTTAAATGATTTCTCCTAAATGAGGCATTACACAACACAGGATCTGGTAACGTATCCTTTTTACTCTGTAACAGAGCTCCACTCTCTGCCTGGCACAAGCCTTGTCCACAGTCTCCTACCGCAGACACTCCTTTCTCACTGCCTCAAGGATGGTGCAGTGTGATGAGGCTGGCAAGTGGGAACGTGTCAGAGAACCAGGAAATGAGAACTTGGTTACCTTAAATGTCTGCTGTAAAAATAATGCTCCCTTCTGAGAGTTACTCTAGGTTCATTTTTATATTTGATACAAACACATTAAGAAGAAGAAAAAAGACAAAGTGTTCTTTTTGGAACCAAACGCCTGTGCCTGAAATGAAACTATATTGCCTGGTTTTTCCTCAGTAATTTATTCTTTGACATATGAAGACAGGTCCTAAGATGTATATACTTTTTCATATTGCTCAATTAGTTATGAACATTAAAAGTATAATTTATTCATGAAGCCTATCATATTTTGAAGCGTGCAGAGCATGGCAGTCAGTAGGATGTCAAGGAAATCTGACTTGGAGAAAATGAAGGGTCAGCTCTGCACTTCATTTGCCCTTCAGGAGATGAAGAGTAGGGGGGTTTGAAGGCAGTGGCCTGGGCCTACAAGGATACAGAACTTCTTCCCCTTACGGTCTTACCAGAGGTAGGCACACCGTGTCTTATTGTGCCTTACAGATACTGCTTTTCACAATGGTGTGTGGCAGTGCCATGTTGATTGGTGCCATTTTCCAGCACTAATTTCTTGTGTTGCTATCTCTGTGTCCCATTTTGGTAATTCTCACGATATTTAAAATATTTTCACTATCATATTTGTTACTGTGTCTGTGCTAAGTGATCTTTATGTTACTATTACAAGTGTTTTGGGGTGCCCTGAGCTGTGCCCATAGGAGATGGCTAACTTAATCACTAAGTGTCGTGTGTATTCTGATAGCTCCACTTATCAGCTGCTCCCCTCCCCCTCTCCTTGGGCCTCTGTTCCATGACACACACAAGTATTGATATCAGGCCAATTAATAAGTCTACACTGGCCTCCCAAGTGTTCAAGGTCTCTCACATTAAATCAAGAGCTAAAATTAATGAGCTTTGTGAGGAAGGCATGCTGAAAGCAGAGATCGGATGAAAGCTAGGTCTCTTATGCCAAACAGTCGGCCAAGTTGTGAATGCAAAAGAAGAGTCCTTGAAGGAAATTAAAAGTACTACTCCAGTGAACACACGGGTGCTAGGAATGTGAAGTGAGGGGCACCTGGGTGGCTCAGTCAGTTGAGCATCCAACTTCAGCTCAGGTCATGACCTCACAGTTTGTGGGATCCAGCCCCACGTCGGGCTCTGTGCTGACAGCTCAAAGCATGTGTGTGTGTCTCTCTGCCCCTCCTCTGCTCGTGATCGGTCTCTATCTCAACAATAAATAAACATTAAAAAAAAGTGAATTGAGACAGACCTATTGCAGTATGGAGAAGGTCTGAGGTCTGGATAGATCAACATTCTCTTAAAGCAAAGCCTAATTCAGAGCAAGGCCCTGACTCTCTTCAATTCTCTGAAGCCTGAGGGAGTTGACGAAGCTTCAGAAGCCGTCTGAAGTGAGTAGAGGATGGTTGGTGGGAGTAAGGACAGAAGTCGTCTCCACAACATAAAACTTCAAGGTGAGACATCAAGTGCTGATGTAGAAGCTGTAGCCAGTTATCCAGAGGATCTAGCTGAGACAATGCATGCAGGTAGCTACACTGACCAACAGCTTTTAACTTGGAGAATCTACTAGAAGCCTTCTGTTGGAAGAAGATACCATCGAGGACTTTCAACGTCAGGGAGAAGTCTGTGGCTGGCTCAAAGCTGCAAAGCATAGTCTGACTCTTGGTAGGAGCTAATGCAGCTGGTGACTGAG